TAGAGACGGGTTTTCACCTTGTTGACCAGGATGGTCTCGATCTCTTGACCTCGTGATCCACCCGCCTCGGCCTCCCAAAGTGCTGGGATTACAGGCTTGAGCCACAGCGCCTGGCCCGAAAGTACTTTTTTAAAAAGGTGAAGCAGGCTGGGTGCGATGGCTCATACCTATAATCCCAGCTCTTTGGGAGGCTGAGGCAGGGGGGACCACAGATCAGGAGTTTGAGACCAGCCTGGCCAACATGGTGAAACGCTGTCTCTACTAAAAATACAAAAATTAGCTGGGCATGGTGTTGGGAACCTGTAATCCCAGCTACTTGGGAGGCTGAGTTAGGAAAATCGTTCGAACCTGCAAGGAGGCTGCAGTAAGCGGAGACTGCACCACTGCCCCCCAGCCTGGGTGACAAAGCGAGACTCCATCTCTTAAAAAAATAAAAAAATAAAAAAAGGTGAAGCCAACTGTGTTACCACATGCCTGTCGTTCCAGTTACTTCTACTTGGGGGGTTAAGGTGGGAGGATCACTTGAGCCTGGGAAGTCAAGGCTACAATGAGCCATGTTTGTGCCACTGCACTCCAGCCTGGGTGAAAAAGCAAGACCTTGTCTCTAAATAAATAAATAAACAAATATTTTTAAAGAGGTGATAGTGGTGGAGGGAATTGTTCTAGATGAAAAGAAATAAGGGACATAAACAAATATAATATGGGGTTCTTGAATGGATTCTAGTCCAATAAAAAATGGTTATAAAGGACATTTTTGTGGAGAAAATTGGGAAAATTGGGGTCTCAGCTAGATACTAGATGAGTACTGAGAATATCAGTGTTAATTTTTTTAGGTGTGGTTATAGTATTGTGGTTGTTCGGGAGAATGTCTTTATTTTCAGAAATATGCAATTAAATATCGTAAAACAAAAAGCATACAGTACCAAAAAGCAATGCAAGTTAAGTGATGAAAATGATTCAATACAGGTGCTTGAACAAGGCCCAAGGCTTCTGGGATTATAATTACAAAAGTGGTATCAGTAAAAAGTAAGGACCTGCAAAGGAACTTTTGTGATTCTTCAAAACAGGCTTAGAAATTGAATTATTCTTTTAATGCTCTCACCTGCTGCCCTCCTTCTAATTTATTCTTCAACTTCTGCAGCTCAGTAAAAATCTGGAGGTTTTCTTGCTGTAGCTTCTGTTGTTCAGTCATACACTTTAACACCAGATCCTGCAATCTCTCAACCTCCATCTGCAGAGAGCTGCATGCACAGGCAGGAGGAATCAGTGGTGTTCCCTTCCCAGCACAGGCTACTGCGGGATTCAGCCGAGGTGACTAGGGAGATAAGAAGGAAAGATTGCAGGAGGTTCTGCCCAGGTGCCATAGCTCCTCAATCCAAACTTCCTCTAAGTGCAATCAGATTTTACTTCTACATTAACAAGATAAAACATAAATACACATTAATATATGTAAGAAAAACAGAAATGCTAGGATTGTTACAGCACTGGACACTGACATAACAGAGAAAGCGAACCCTCAGTGCCTCAGTCCCCATTAGGCCAAGGTGGAAGACCAAACATCTATTTTGGAGGACTTTGTGAAAAATTTTAAACCACCTTGGTATCGTCTCATTTAAAATGCTGAAGCAGGGAAAAGCATGATCTGGTTTGCAACAAGTCTTTCAGATCACAGTGAGACCCAAAGGGTCAATATTCATGAAATGCAGTGAATTACACTTTAGAAAAGATCTGAGAGGTGGTCAGTAAACAGGACCACTAACACAATTTAAGAAGGTGAACTAACAGAGAAATGAAAACATTCACCTTGAAGTTTCAAAGGTATTATTACCACTTTTGGGAAGCTTTCTGATGATCCTAGTCTGGATTTTTCTCTTTTCCACTGTACTCTGTTTATAGGAAGGTTCAGCAGATAGCCCATGGGCCAATTCTGGCCTGCTGCCTGTTTTTGTAAAACAATTTTACTGGAAACCAGGGATGCCCAATCATTATGTACTACTTGAAGCTGCTTTTTGTGCTACAATGTTAGAGTTGAGTAGTTACAAAAGAGGCTGTACACATTTCTGTCTAAAATAGTCTAAAATAATTACTATGTTGCCTTTAATAGGAAAAGTCTAAAATAATTATTATGTAGCCTTTTATAGAAAAAGTTTCATGACCTTGGTTTCTAGTTTTTACCACAATTTCATTTCTACCAAGGTTAGGTGTACATGGTGTTGCTTCCTCACTAGACTACCAGTATTACTTTTTTTTTAAGAGACAGAGTCTCGCTCTGTTGCCCAGGCTGGAGTGCAGTGGTGAAATCTTGGCTCACTTCAACCTCCGCCTCCCGGGTTCAAGGGCTTCTCCTGCCTCAGCCTCCTGAGTAGTTGGGATTATAGGCGCGACTGTGCCTACCTAATTTTTGTATTTTTAGTAGAGACAGGGTTTCACCATGTTGGTCAGGTTGGTCTCAAACTCCTGACCTCATGATCTGCCCGCCTTGGCCTTCCAAAGTGCTGGGATTACAGGTGTGAGCCACCGTGCCCAGCCCAGTACTACTTCTTTCTTATAGAGCGTCTAACCCATCCTGGCAGTGTCATGAGAAACTGAATTTGAATTTAGGCATTTCTGAGGCAGAGGGAAAAGACAATTCTTTGGTCTAGGAAGGTGTTAGCCTGTCAGAAATGTGGAAGGGCAAATACCTTTCTGAGGCAACTCAGTTTAGTCTTGGGTTGAGGCTTTAAATACTGCTGAATGGACATTATAATGAGTTAATGCAGGGCAGCTGAAACCCAAAAGCTAGAGTAAGGCCAGGAGAACTGGGCAGAGCTTACAGTGACTGTTTACCTAGTTGTGATTCAAAGGCAAAAAGCTCAGTTACCCAGGCTCCTAGTTGGGGCTTGTGTTCCAAAGGAGCTTCAGAAGCCACTTTGAGTCCTTGCAGCTCTTCATAGGGCAGGGTATCTTTCTCAGATTCTGAAAATGCTGCACTGAGGGGAGATGGGCTGTCAGGCATGGGGATAAATTCTGCATTTTCCAGCTCCTATATATATGAGAAAGAATCTCATTAGTATCTCATTATTCTATTTGCAGTATTTGCTTTCTGCCAAATTCCCTTCTCTGTTTTGCTATAGTTTTCCCTGGCATGACATCAGCACCCTCTAGTGGGCAGGACAGTTGTGGTTAACAACATATCTCAGCCTACCTGTGAGCAAACTGCCACCCCTTCATCGGAGGAAGAAGAGTGATGCAGAAATAAACTCAAAGAACACAGGTTGGAGTGTCTGGTGTGTCTCCCCGACACACTTATTCTACACAGGCTATTCAGTGATCTGGGAAGCTCCAAGGAAATGGCAGTGAGGCTGGCAGCCGCACTGCTGAAAGCTGAGGCTAAAGGTGCAGACAGAACAGTGTATTGCTTCCTGTTCATGCTCTTCAAGTCATTATCAAGTTAAGTATTACTAGACAAGGAACTTTAAATCTACGGTGTTTTTTTTTTTTTTTTTTTAATAGGGTCTTGCTCTGTTGCCCAGGCTGGAGTGCGCAACCACGGCTTATTGCAGCCTTGACCTTTGGTATTCAAACGATCCTTCCACGTCAGCCTCTTGAGCATCTAGGACCACAAGCATGTCACCATGCCTGGTTAATTATTATTATTTTTTTGAGACAGAGTCTCACTCTGTTGCACAGGCTGGCGTGCAGTGGCACGATCTTGACTCACTGCAACCTCTGCCTCCTAAGTTCAAGTGGTCCTCTTACCTCAGCCTCCGAAGTAGCTGAGATTACAAGTGTGCACCATCACGCCTGGCTAACTTTTTTGTATTTTTAGTATAGATGGAATTTTACCATGTTGGCTGGGCTGGTCTCAAACTCCTGCCATCAAGATCTGCCCGCCTTGGCCTCCCAAAGTGTTGAGATTACAGGCGTGAGCCACCTTGCCCAGCCTAATATATTTATAATTTTTGAGATGGAGTCTCACTCTGTCACCCAGGCTGGAATGCAGTGGTGCGATCTCGGCTCACTGCAACCTCCACTCCCTAAACTCAAGTGATTCTCCTGCTTCAGCCTACCAGGTAGCTGGGATTATAGGTGTGTATCACCACGCCCAGCTAATTTTTGTATTTTTAGTAGAGACAGGGTTTCACCATGATTGGCCAGGCTACTCTCAAATTCCTGACAGGTGACCCACCTGTCTCGGCCTCCCAAAGTGCTGGGATTATAGGCGTGAGCCACCGTGCCCAGCCCCGGCCTTATTTTTAAAATTTATTTTATAAGGATAGGGTCTCCCTATGTTGTCCAGGCTGGTCTCAAACTCCTGGGCTCAAGCAATCCTTTTGTGTTGGCCTCCCAAAATTCTGGAATTACGGGTGGAAGCCACCACGCCTGGTCTTTTTTTGTGTGTGTGTGTGGTAAAAAATTTAAAATTTCACAAACCATAAATATTCACTGTAGAAAATGAGAAAATACAAATGGGCACAGGAAACTAATAAAAACCACCAGCAATTCCATCACTCACAGATAACCACTTTAAAAATTATCAATACATAGTCTTGTCGACATTCTTCTGTGTATTACATATTTCCTAAAAGAATGAGATCATACAGATATTTCATCCTCTTCTGTATAGCCATATGTTATGACTAACTTTCCATGAAAATTAATATACTTCAATATTTTTACTTTCTTTTTTTTTTTTTTTTTTT